TACCAAATATAGGCAAAAGTTTTCTCCTGATGCTTTCCTTTATAATAGTTTCTAGGTCATCTGAAGGTGCTTAACCCATGTCCTTATCTTTTCTTTAGTGTATCTCCTCTTGTATTTTAAATATTGACCTTTACTACTATCAAAACAGCCATTGTCACTATGGACATTTCAACGGTCTTAGGGCTTTCTCTGTGGTTATACTCTACTTTTTGGTTCCTAGGACATCAGCTATACTACGGTGTGATCTGAGACTTTCTAAAGCTTTCAGGTGTGTGCGTATGGATAGAGATGCTGCGACACTGTGCTCTTTCAGTCTATTACTTTTTGCTGCAGTTTGCAGTTTGCAAAGTTGTAGTACTTTGCCTACAGAGGAAAATAATATTGATTAAAATATCTTCAAACATTTACCTTTTTATTTTTAAGTAAAACCCACATAATAAATAAAACTTTGTAACTACCGACAGAAACATGAGAATACTTGGTGCTTTCTCATCTGTAGTCATAATCATGTGTAAGTAATTTAAAGTAAAAAAAAACAATAAATAACTAGATGTAAGCTGTGAGAAGTTCTACTCATCCCTATCTCAGAACAGACATCCTAGAGCTAGACAAGCAGCTGGACTAAGATTATATAGACAAAAACTTTTCAGTTAAGAAAATGAAGGACTAAGTAGGAAATGTGCTAGAGCCAAATAAATCAGCAAATATCTTGGAGAAGTAATGTTAATGATTGTTCATTTTCTAATAGCAGAAATGCTATAGATATTAAAATAGAAGGCAGCAGGTTTGACATAAAAATGAATTCTTTTTCACAGAAGGGATAATTAAGATATGGAGCTAATTTCCCACAGGGTGCTGTGGATGTCGAAATACCCTGATAGGTTCAGAAGGTAATTATCATGGTTTATGGAAGAAAATTTAGTTAAAGTATGTAAAAATACGAAGATGCAGGCATAACTTTCAGCACAGGGAGTATTTCATTAGCAGAGTACCAGGAGACAGCACAGTATGTTAGTAGAATTTTGGAGAGAAATAGATGAGTGTCAGAGTAGAAAAAGTGAAAACAATACTGAGACAAAGGGACTGAGTACTGCTTTTCTCTGTTTCATCAATTGTTTTATCTTTATCGTGTTTGGGATCTATTTCTTCCTGCCATGCCTGCAAAAAGAGAGATGAAACAAAGTGTATACTAGAAAAGCTGTTGAAAATAAACAGAAAAAATCCACTTCTTCATTACTTTATAAAACACCTAGAGCATTAAGTATTATAGAGATTAAAAAAATAATAATTCAGAAATAAAAGTCGGCTTTAAACTATCAGCATAGTAGGCATGTAGTCTTGTCCATTCTAAAGCCTAAAGTTAAGTCTAAGCCTAAGTTCATTAAGGTTATTAATATTTGCACTATTACAGGTACTAAACAGATACAATGTTTTGGTAGTATCACAGCTTAACTATTAAAAATCTCCAGATTTTTAGGCTCTTTATAAGGACAGAGTTGCTGTCTGATCCTTCTGAAAATAGCAAATCTGTGGATTTATAGAGGGGAAAATATTGCCTGAAACCAGCATTCACTCCTAGACTAGCAAGCAGTAACTAGTTTAACTGATATGGTTAAACTACTGCAGCTTAACTACTGAATGTTGATTCCAAATATCAAGTGACCAAATCCAATAAATATTCTATAGTTCATTGGTGATACAAGTATGGTCTAGCAAAAATCCATATATAGGGCATAATTCTGTTGAATTAACCAGAGAACATGTAATAAGGCCACTCTGGATCAGGCTGTGATCAGCCTGATCTAGTGGGAGGTGTCCCTGCCCATGCAGAGGGGCTAGATCTAGATGATCTTTGAGGTCCCTTCCAACCCAAACCATTCTATGATTCTACGAATGATTACATTACCTTTAGGACCCCAGTCTGCACTACAGCTCTTTTGCCAGTACACAGTGCAATACTAATGCTACTGTGCTGTTGGATGCTGTAAATTTAGTCTAACAGGACCATAAAATCAGCAGAGTTACAGCAACTTAAATTAATGCCTTACTTTATCTTGCATTATATAGTTAAATTGTTGAAGAGACAGTAAGACAGGGTTCCTGGTTTTGCTGGGAGAGTTATAGAATCAATTTTCAGCTCAGGGAAGCTGCAATTTGAGAGAAGTCTGCAGAACCTGATTCTGTGAGAACTAAGTTGAGAAGACACTTTGCTTTAGTTCATGGTCAGCCATGGTATGTGGGTTCCCATAGTGATCGAGATCTTTAGCAGCTTCAAGTCAGCCAGGTGCTAGGGCATAGAGGAGCAAAACCCAGGGCAGCTGACCCAAGCTGGCCAACAGAAGTATTCCACGCCATAAGCATCACCCTCACTATAGATTGGGAGTTTTGCTAGGGATGGAGATCTTCTTCAATAACCACCATGCCTGGAGGCTCTAGTCCATCATTCTGCCCCTAAGGCCTGCTGTCCCACTTGTTGTGACCATCTCACTCCTGCT